CCAAAATTATGCCAAGCCCACTTCTGAAGAGGCCATGCCCACTTCTACAGAGGCCATGCCCCCTACTGGTACCTGGTGTCTTTGGGAGGGTACAACCTGGGGGTGGAAGAAGACTGGGCCCAGTGTTGGGGACGAACTGAAAACTGATCTTAATTTAAAGATACTTTTTAAACTAAAAACTGCTATCATCTGAGTTGTAAACTTTTTTTGTGATAGATGTTTTGCTTTGATGCTGATGACTGCAGATCAGGGAAGTGGGCGATGGATATTTCTGAAAATAAGCCAACAATGGGGAAGCCTACCTCAGGAGCTGGGGGAGAAGACAGCTGGAATAGAGAAGGGATCACCAAGTCAATGATGGTTGGAGGGATCACTTGGAAGGGGAGATGTGTGCTGAAAGTAGATGAAGGACCGAACATGATAGCCTCTCAGTATCTGTATTGCAAACCATAATGCCCCAAAATAGAGAGAGACTATGGGGGAAATTGTCTGCCACAGAGGCAGGGGGAGGGCTTGGATAGGGGGGGTAATACTGGGGATATTGGTGGTGGAAATTGTGCACTGGTGAAGGGATGGATGTTCGACCATTGCATGACTGAAACTCAAACATGAAAGCTTTATAAATGTATCTCATGGTGATTTAATAAAAAAAAGGGGGGATGTTTGCCACATCAATTGATTTATTTGTAGCCTGTGAAGCTGACAGTGTATTAATTCAGAAATACTTTCAGAATTGGTACATATCCTCGGTTACTTCTTTATCGACTAAATTCATGTAATATTTTAAATCCTATGTCATTTCAATAATGTTCACAATATCTTTTTTTTTGCTTGATCATTTTTGCTTGTTCAAGATCATTTGATGATATGATCACAAGATCAATTTTGCTTGTTCATCCTTAAGATGCAGTTCATCATCTGCCAGTTTTGTGAGATTGTAGCAATTAAGTCATATTTTCAGGTTCCATCTGTTTTTAATTCTTTTTGTTATTTCTACCACATTTAGTTATTTCTTCCTGAAGTCTTGAACTCCTCAAGTCAAGCACAAAGGTAGAGATCATATTCTTGCAACTACACTGGTATTTAGATCTGCTCCTGTTAATCATCAGTCTTTCCCCCCCTTCCTTTCCCATGTTAATGCTGTTGTGATTATTTGGAGTTGCACACATGCTTGGTTTGGGTGCTTGCACTTTAGTTCTGGTGTTCTTTAAGGGTCACATATCAAGTTTGCTCTGCTTGCCAGAGATCATACTTTAGCCAGGATAGCTGGGAACATTCTGGCTGTAGTGCTTCCTGTAGGGTGAGAAGCTGATCATTGGAGGTCACACTGCTGACCCCCGCGTTCTCACATCCTTTTAGTTGTGAGGTCTGCTGGAGATTAGATCCCTTAACTGTGCTCTCACCTATCTTGCTGATACAGCCAGGTAACAGTGTCAGGAATCTCAGATAGGACAGCTGTGGATACCATGCTCAGCCTGCAGTGGCACCAGATACCAGCCTTGTGGCCTCATGTTTGTAATGCAGACACTTTAGCTACTAAGACTTGTCCTGGCCCAGTTCTTTATAGTATCTACAACAGTGAAATGTTCCTATAATGTTTTCAACTGAATTCAGCCTGATTTGTCAAAGAAATTCAGTATCTGTGCAGCCATGGGCTGTTGGATGCATCATCTGTGTGAATGGAACTATCAAGAATGCTATGTCATTAAAAAGCGCAAGTTAGACGTACATGTAATGAGTTTGAAAGATTCTTAAGTAACATGTCACTGTCACTGTCCTCCCGTTGTTCATCGATTTTCTCAAGCGGGCCCAGTAACATCTCCATCGTAAGACTTTGTTGTTACTGTGTTTGGCATATTGAATATATCACGGGGAGCTTGCCAGGCTCTGCCGTGCAGGCGAGATACTCTCGGTAGCTTGCCGGGCTCTCCGAGAGGGGCGGAGGAATCGAACTCGGGTCGGCCATGCTGGCTGCGTGCAAGGCAAATGCCCTACCGCTGTGCTATCGCTCCAGCCCTGTGCTATCGCTCCAGCCCTTAAGTAACATAAAAAGAAGAATTTCCAACACATGAAAAGATATTGTTTGTTTTAAAATGTATAAGATACAAAAGAATACTTCATGGAAAGAGGCATGCTGACTTGATGATGGAAAACTTAACCTTGGGAAACTTGGAAGGACTGACAAGTTTTGGTTATTCTATACTTTAGAAGCATTTGACGGGGGTATGGTGCCGCCAGCAGGTCAATCTGTACCTGTGAGGCGAGTGCATCAGCAGCTTGATGGCGCCTTCAGATTTCCAGATACCCCAAAATTGCTGCTGTGCCTTTGGCCAGACCCCAAAAACGTGGAGCAAAGTTTACCAAGAAAGTAAACAGCCAAAAGTTAGGTATGTGGGAAACACACCCACAAACCACCTCTGGCTCAGCTATATAATCGGAGGCATGGCCTCTCTGGTTCCTGATCGAACTGCTTAATGGCCATGATCCCAGAGACTCAGAAACGAATCTTGGAAACAGCGGCTTTAGGTAGAAATGCATCCGGTCCCTGCAGTAGGTTACCAGTGCTGGGCCAACCCAGGTGGGAATAGGTTTCGTGCCTTGGCCTGTTCCCCCTGGCAGCCAGTGGCTGCCATCCTCCAGAGGCCACTGGATAGTCAGGTTTGGGCCCCCAGTGACGAGACACACAGGGCCTCATGGGATGGAGGTGGAGCTGGGCTTGTCCTCCCCACCCCAACGAGATCCCAAGTTATCACCCATGAATGGCCTCTCTGGCTCCTGATCCAGCTGCTTAATGGCCATGATCCCAGAGACTCAGAAACAAATCTCAAAACCCAGTGACTTTTAGCAGAAATGCGTCCAGACCCCACAGTACGTTACTGTCACCGGGCCACTCCAGGGAGGAAAGGGTGTTGTCACTCCACCTGCTCCCTCTTGGTGGCTTGGTGGCTGTCATCCTCCAGAGGCCATTGGACAGTCAGACTTGGGCCCGCAGTGACGAAACTTGTTGGGCCTCATGGGATGGCGGGGGAGCCGGGCCTGTCCTCCCCTCCCCAACGAGACCCCAAGTCATTGCCCACGAATGGCCTCTCTGGCTCCTGATCAAGCTGCTTAATGGCCTTGATCCCAGAGACTCAGAAACAAATCTTGAAACCCAGCGGCTTTTGGCAGAAATGTGTCTGGACCCTGCAGTAGGTTACTGTCGCCGGACCACCCCAGGGGGGAAGGGTGCTGTCCCTCCGCCTGTTTCCCCCTGGCGACTCAGTGGCTACCATCCTCCAGAGGCCATTGGACAGTCAAGCTTGGGCCCGCAGTGAGGAAACTTGTTGGGCTTCACGGGATGGGGTGGAGCCGGGCCTGTCTTCCTCACCCCAATGAGACCACAAGTCATCGCCCACGAACGGCCTCTCTGGCTCCTGATCAAGCAGCTCAACAGCCACGATCCCAGAGACTCAGGAGCAAATCTCGAAACCCAGTGGCTTTTGGCAGAAATCTCTCCAGATTTAAGTGTTAAAACTTCGGAATTTCAAAATCACATGGCCCTACTGCAGCTACGCGACATCATATGATATTCATAACCAGCAATAGAACACAAATTGTCTATTGTTGCCCTTTCAGCATATCTGAGTGTTGGGGTAAAATCCCAAATAATAATGGTGGGTCTGGTGTCAAAATATTGAATGTAGTCAAAGTAGAGAGAGAGTAATGTGGAAATCATCTGCCCCACAGGTGGGGGGGAGGGTGTGGGATGGGGGATACTGGGATTTTTGGTGGTAGAGAATGGGCACTGGTGAAGGTACGGGTGTTTCACTGTATGACTGAGACTTAGACCCAAAAGCTTTGTAATTGCTCTCACGGTGATTCAATAAATAAAATTATAAAAAATGAAAAAAAAAAAGTAAGACAGAGTTCATGCACAATCCAATCAGCTAATCAGTGGCTGAATAAATAGCAGTACTCCTACAAAAAAAAAGGAAAAAAAAGAAGCATTTGAATGTTTAAGAAAGGACTCATACAGTCTTTACTAAATTTTTTTCAGAATTAAATATGAACACCAACAGTCTTGTTTCTCATCCCTCCCCCACTCCACCTCTCTCATGATCTGTTTCAGGAATGATGGATTACTAAGAATATAAAACCAGATGAATAATGAGACATTTTGTTTTAAACTCCTAAGAGTGTACACATTTCAGCTTGCTGCGTAATGATGCCATGAAGCACCTTGTCATTCTGCCTTTTCTGTCCTGGAGATCTCCAATGACTGTTTAATCTTACACAAATATATGACTAAAACAAGAATAATAAATTCTGGTGTTCGAGTCTACATTTTATTTTTTCATAAGACAGTGTTTATTTTCTAAACTAAGACAAATGTGTAGCTCAGGAATGACTATACAGGAACATGCTGGTGCATCTAAGTTTGGGAAAGGAAAAACCTAAATCCCTAGTGATTATATTACTGTATGACAAATAGATACTCAATTATAATTGAGTAATTAATTATAATTATATATAAATATATAATTACAATTAATTATAATTCATTAATAAGCACAGTGAAGCAGATAATTTGTTAATGATAAGAAGCTAGTAAATACTTTGAGTTTAGAATTTCGAGTAGAGAAATGCATTCTATGTTATCTCCACAACATCAGTAGGGCATTTGCCTTGCACGCAGCCAGCCTGGCCGAGCCGGGTTCGATTCCTACACCCCTCTCGGAGAGCCCAGCAAGCTACCAAGAGTATCTCACCCGCACGGCAAAGTCTGGCAAGCTACCCGTGACGTATTTAATATGCCAAACACAGTTACAACAAGCCTCAAAATGGAGACGTTATTTGGTCTGCTCCAGCAAATCGATGAACAATGGGAGGACAGTGACCCAGTGACCCCTCCACAACATGGGTTTTTTCAAAATGACTATTTAACTTCTTCAAAGTTTAGGTCAAATGTCACTTTTTTCCACATGGATTGCCTTTCTGCATACCTATTTCTACATAGAAAAGAAAAAAGCAACATTTATTCAGAATTACGAATGTTTATTGAATTCATGTTACACTAGGCAAAAGTAATAGAAACACACTGTCTATCCAGGGATCCTTTAAGTTTTTCAGCAGTAACTGAGTCCTCATTATAAAAAGTCAATTTTACTGACTTCGTAGTATTTTTATTCTTTGATTAGTCTTTATTTACAGTTTTCTCAACTGTACTTTCAAATGCTGCATAATGATTTAGACCAAGAACTATTCCGAAGATGATTTGAAAGGCTAGAGGTACTGCCATTACTTTTATCTGTGTTTGACAAAGCAACGTCCAGTGAAGTAAAACTCTTCCTTTTGGTGGCAATGGAACAGTATGATACCTAAAAAGGAAAAACAGTTTATCATGCCTCCATGAAAAGTTCATTAAGTCCTCTTACACTAATAATTTTCTTTCATTACTTTTCATATAGATAGCAAGAAGATTAAAACTATTTAAAATGCCAATTTCTGACTAAAATGTATTTAGTCTTAGCTAAAGAACAGTTTATTAACCTATACAATAACAAGCAAGAAAAAGGAAAACAGATGGACTTACTTGACTGCCAGGCGCCCACTTTTAGAAAAAGCCAAAGCACTGGGATACAAAACACCACATATTATGCCAACAAGTGAACTTCTCAGAGCACAATTTTCCTGGCTTATATTACCTGGAGAGAAGAAAAGTGCAAAGTTAGTTTCCATTTAAAACTCAAGACCAAGTACTATTAAGAGCATTTTACTGGTCTTAATAAGTAGACAAGCATAGTTATCTGTGTTGTCTTCAATCACAGTGAAACAGAAAGAATACCAGAAATTCAACCAGTGGCATATAATAAACACATTCCACTTAAAAAGCAATTTTATTGTATGTTACATAAAGGAGAGCCATCTCTAACATATGTAGCATTGTAGGTGCAATTTCAGGATGATGAACATTAAACTAGCATATGGAACATCTGGACTCTATTTGGTTTGAGGCCTGTCGTCTGATGCTAGCGATATATTCCCTACACTGCTGCACAGGAGACACATTCCCTGTCCTTTTGGTCAGTCACCAGGAAAGAAAGACAGTAAATATCTTGAGGAGTAATTTTAAGTGCACGAGTTTTTGAAAGCAAATTAGAAACCTAACCTATTCTGAAAGAACTCAGTGGGATTTACTTCTGATTCTGCACTCAGAGATTACTCTTGGTAGTGCTTGGGGGACCATATAAGAAGCCGGGGATCGAACCCAGGTCGGCCCCGTGCAAGGCAAATGCTCTATCAATTGTACTATTATTCTGGCCCCAGGGAAGAGATACTTAAACAAGGAGCAGACGAACAGGTATCAGGAGATCCATGAAATACTAGTGAAACTTAAGGGAAGGGGAGGATGAAGGAAATAATACTAGGTCATAGATGCCAAACACTATCTTAGGAATTTGACATACGCTATCTTTTAATTTTTACTACAGCTCTATGAGGTAAATGGTAATAGTCCTAATTGACAGATGAGACAAAAAAATCTGATCATAAATTGACTTGTTGAATACCACAAAACTGAAGTTGTGGGAGGCAGAGTTTGATATTTCCCCCACCCCACCCCTAGTGTATTATGTTGTTTCTTAGCATGTTTCTTAAACATCTACTAGTGTTGGTTATTTATCTGTAAAAAGAAGACACCTCAGACAGGAGATAGAAGGAAAGGCAGTTGCCCTGAATGTTGCTGACCCAAGTTTGATTCTTAGAATCCTATATACCCCTCCCCACCAGGAGGGATCCCTGAGCATAGAAGCAGGAGTAAGCCCTGAGCATCACTGGGGATGGCCCCCAAACAAAAAAGCAGAAACTGTCATACTTTGATCACATTAGATATAAGAACAGAACTGATATACTAATTAAGGAGTCAACATATTAAAAGGACTTAATGTTATAAACACATATGCACAAAAGAAGGGACGCCCTCCACCCCCACCTTCAAAAAAGAAAAAAGAGAGAAAATTATACTTAGTGTCATGCTAATGAGGAACTTTTTTTACACAGCCACATTATATACTGATGAATTAAAAATTTACCGGAATATAAAGGATCAGTTACAAGGAATTTGTAAGTAACCAAAGTAGACAAAAATGGAAGAGAGGCCAATGATGCATATGTCTTTAAAGTATCATGTTGAACCTTGAAGCAACTCCTGAAAATAAAGTTTGCCAATATTCCAGAGAAACCAGCTGTTGTTCCAAAGAATACTGTTCTTTTTAAAGTCCTAAAAGAAAAAAGGAAAAATTAAGTCTAACATTCCATTATTTTCTTTAATGAAGAAACCAATTTCATTTTTCAAACTGAAAATTGAAAACCTCTTTTCAAATTTAGTATTTTTATTGAATCACCCTCAGATACAGTTACAAAGTTTCAGCCATACAATCTTCCAACACTCTTCCCTCCACCAGTGTATTTCGGTACACTAGTGTACCAATATCCCCCATCCCGCTCCTGCCACAGCCCTCATAACCCCCTGTCCCCCCAGCCTGCCTTTATGGCAGGCTCTTCTCCCCTCCCTTTCCTCCTTCCCTCCCCCCCTTTTTCTCCCTCCCTCCCCCCACTCCCTCTTTCTCTCCCCTTCTGGACATTGTGGTCTGCAATACAGATACTGAGAGGCCATCGTGTTTGGTTCTTTATCCACTTTCAGCATACATCTCCCACACAGAGTGACCCCTTCCAACCATCACTGTCCTCATTGCTCCTTCTTTATCCCAGCTGACCTCTTCCCAGCCCTTGGATGTAAGTTTCCAACCGAGGACCATTCGTCCTACTGTATTTGGGTATTAGTCTCATACTATGATTTTTTAAAAAATGGATATATCAATTTCTAAATAATCATTTGTAATTTGATTTATTCAACCATCAAATGTCTCCTGAACACTTACTACAAGAAAGTTGTTTTTCAGGGGTTTAGTGGCTTGCATACAGGAGACCAGGGTTTGATCCCTGGAGCTGTTCCCCTCTACTCCCCCCCACAATATATACATGTATATATGGTATTTTCTATGTGTTGGGCAATAATAAAGCACACAAAACAAAATAAAATCCCACTGCTCAAGGAAACTGCATTCTAATAAGAGGATTATGAGTCCCTTTACAAGCATATCTAAGTTGTTTTAGATGTAGTTCTTTTAAAAAGAGAATAAATCTGACCACAAATGAAACTGTTCCAATGTAGCTCATTTTTTTGTAGCTAACTCAATCCAAAATGCTACTTTTTATACTAAAAGAATTTGTTTTAGGTCATCTGAAAAAAATATATAAATAAAAAGCTTGTTTAGATCTGATTAGACTATCTGGAAAATAACTATTTCTTAATTAGTTCAGATACATTTAAAATAATGTTGGGGATTTAAAGAGCATTATCCAAAGAGATCTGATTAGTCCAGTTTTACTTATTTTGACTCATACTCAAACTGATCAAATGTCTAAAATCAAAGATCCAACATCCTTTAATTTTATCCCTAAATCTACGAGATTGTCAAATAGTAATAAAAGACTTCATGTACATCACTGAAGCTACATTCCTTTCTTGCCAAACTCAGCTCTATGGCTGAGGTAATTCTAAAATGAATTTATTTACAGCACATCAATTAAATCTAAGTAGCCTCCCAAATGGTTTTTAAATTCGGAGCAATAGCACAGTGGTAGGGCATTTGCCTTGCATGCAGCCAACTTGGCCGACCTGAGTTCGATTCCTCCGCCCCTCTCAGAGAGCTCGTCAAACTACTGAGAGCATCTCTCCCGCACAGCAAAGTCTGGCAAGCTACCTGTGACGTATTCGATATGCCAAACACAGTAACAACAAGTCTCACAACAGAGACGTTACTGGACCCTTTCAAGCAAATCAATGAATGGTAGGATAGGACAGTGCTACTAAAAAATTAAATTTAAATTAATTTTTTGTTTTTAAATTAAATTCAATCGAAATATGCCAAGCGCAGTAACAACAAAGTCTCCAATAGAGACATTACTGGGCCCGCTCGAGCAAATCAATGAACAACGTGAGGACAGTGACAGTGACAGTGACAAATTAAATTCAAAAGCATTTACTGCAAAAATGACATTTTAATAATTTTGTCCATTGTTCAAAGGGTGGTGCTGGGAGTGGGGGAAAAGTTTATTGTATCAGGGTTGGCAGTCAGGGTTTCAAATGTGTTAGGCATGTGCTCTCCCATTTGAACTAACTCGGCTCATTTTTGTCATTTTTTTAAGAAGCAAAATAAATTATTCAATGTCCCAATATTCCAACAAATCACTGACTTCACCAGTACGTTTCCTCCCAGTTCTTAATTTTATAATTTTTTTCATTATCAAATTAATAACATTAGAGGATTTAAGATATCCAGAAATAGTGACAATACAGAAAATGAGCAAATAAATTTATCAAGCTTTCAGTCTGGTATCTCTTACTTTTCATTTCTAAGGTATTCCAATTTCTTTTCTATGAATTCAAAAATCACTGTTCTTCTGAGCATTCCATCTCCCAGAGAAAGGCTGGGCTGACCATGTGTATATGCTGCCCCCGTAAGGCCCTAGAAAACACAAAATTTAAGAAATATCACTTGATACTAATACCAAATTGGAAGTTCTAGAGATTTAATTTAAAGTCTAATAACATGTCAGATACAGTCATCTGTTTTTATATACCTTCAGCTGACTCTTGTTGTTATTATTTTTGGCATATAGAATACGTCACGGGTAGCTTGCCAGGCTTTGCCATGCAGGCAAGATACTCTCGGTAGCTTGCCGGGCTCTCTGAGACGAGCAGAAATCGGACACAGGCCGGCTGCCTGCAAGGCAAATGCCTCCAGCTCTCTGGGCTGGAGCGAAGCACAGTGGGTTGGGTGTTTGCCTTGCACGCGGCCGACCAAGATTTGATTCCTCTGCCCCTCTTGGAGAGCCTGGCAAGCTCCCGGTGGCGTATTCGATATGCCATAAACAGTAACAAGTCTCACAATGGAGGCGTTACTGGCGCCCGCTGGAGCAAATCGATGAACAACAGGACAGTGCTACAGTGCTAAGTTGACTCTATCAACATTCAGCAAACTTATTATCAATGACTTTTTCTTTATATGGGTATTGCTGCTGGTACTGGTGGTGCGGAATTCAGTTTTCAGATGGAACTCAAGAGTTTTCCACATACTGGATATTGTTCTACCACACAAACCTCCTCCACATCCTGTCAACAACGCCTTTTTTGATTCATATAGTAGCTCTGAGAAACTGGTGGGATAATTATCAAACCTGTGCATTCGCGGCCGCGCGACATTTTATTATCTCATTCCTACTTTGGACAAACTGGCAGGTTACCGAATGTAACCTGCCCACATGGCAGAGTCTGGCAAACTCCCCGTGGCGTACCCAATATGCCAAATACCTGTAACAACGATGGGTCTCATTCTCCTAATCCTGAAAGAGCCTTGAATATGGCACTTTTTAAAAAATATCAGGGCTAGGACGAAGGAGACAATCGACGAACAACAGGATGGTCGTGATCGTGATGGTGCTTAAAACTAATTCCAGAAAGGTCTACAGTGGCCTGGTCCTTTGTTGTCTTCCTCCCCATAGCTTTTTCAGAGAAGGAAAGCTGGGAATTGGAAAGTCAGTACTTGTTGACAATTATTCTCTCAATCCTGGCAAATCTGCCGTCAGAGATCCCTGGCACCATAAGAGGAAAGCTGTCAGATATCCGACAGCCGGTCTGCAGGCTCCTCACTGAACTCTGCAACTAAAGAGTGGTAAATCCCAACAAGTACTTGTCTATGCACTGAAGTAGCCCCTGGTGAGCTCTACAACCAGAATGTGCTCAAGAACAGCTAACTAGTTTGACACTCAGTGAGCATTTTGGCCAAGTACATGAGCACCATAGCTGTTGTGCAATCCCTTATAAGTGGGACTTTCAGTCACAGAAGCAGCATCAACAGAAGAAAGGAACAAAGCAAATAAAATAAAAATTAATATACTTAAAAAAAAGCCTAAACTCAATTTGGACATTGTTTCCAGTTTGAGTTTCTTGAAGATGGAGCAGGGCAAAGACTGTCTAGGAGAATCATGAGAGAACATCAGAAATCGAGACAAGAGCTATAGACAGGTTAAGAGTTACATTGTTTTCTAGTAGCAGGAGGTGGAGGTAGGACTTTTGCTGGAAATTGCTATGTGCAATACCAGAGAGCCCAGAACCATGGCCCTAGGCTTGAAAAATTTCAAAGGCTTAGCCAGTAGCCTCCTAACAGAAAACCAATGATTTTGTACATTTCTGAAAAGTCTTCTAAATAACATAGTGACATTTTCTGCCACACAGTATAATAGGATTTTAAATTAGTCAATGAATAGGTTAAAAGGTCTACTGCTCTTCACACATTTAACCAACTTCTATTGTTGGAACAGCTTTTATAGGTAAGGGCACAGATTCTCAAATCTCAATAGTCTTAGGGAAAAAAGTAGAATAAGCATATTAAATACCCAAGACATTAAATAAATCAGTAATTCTCTATGTTTTGTTTTGGGGCCACATTCTGCTGGGCTGCGTCTGTGCTCAGGGATCAAATGTAGGTGGGCTGCATACAAGGCAAGTGCCTTTCCCTCTGTACAATCTCTTCAGGCAAAAGCAGTCATTCTTAACCTCTAGTGCACATAAAATTCATAAGGGGGCTTATCTGAATGCAGTCTCTTGAGCTCTCTTCTGAGACACATGGATTCAGCATAAACAGGGTGAAGTCTACGAGAATGGGTGTGCTATAATTTTTTCTTTTCCAGGCTACCTCCATGTGAGGTATGTGTTCTACCACTGAGCCACATCCCTGGCACTGAAGGTGTTTTAATAGCACCATGATATTCTGATACAAAGTGAATGACACTGTGATACTCACTTGTTGAGTAAGTGATAGGTAACAATCCTAATAAAGAAAGGCTAATTCATTTATACCCCAGGAAGCAACATTCTGCAGATTCCTCTGAATCTTAACATGGTATCATACAGTGAAAAATAATGGATGTTTCTTCCCTGAACCAAGCTCAACCCAGTTCTTTCACTCTCTCTGTCGTGTGTCCACGTGTGTGGTGTGGAGTCGTATGGATGACACAGCAAGTGTGGGGACCACGCAGTATTGGGACTCAAACCTGGTGGGTTGCATTAACCCCTATAGTATCTCTCTGGCGTCCGCCACTAAGATTTCTTTAAATATTCAGGCAAGACAGAGGGGGGAAAAGAGAAAATATTTTACAAATCATTTCTTTAGTCATTTGTTTCTCTCTGATATCTAGGTGGAAAATTAAAAATGTTTTGCTATCATCCAATTCATTCGCTTAAGTACCTTATTCCACACAAAGAAAACCTCTAGGCAATGTCTGCTACCAACTTTTTATTTTGTCTACACCTTCACCTGAAAGGGAATAGATAGACAAGATTATGCTCCTAACATACTGAAACAGGACTGGAAATAACGAGAGCCCGGGGTTTGGAAAACTGTTATTAAAGCAGAAAAGTAGGCCGGTAATTTTCAGACAGAATTTTAAACTGGTATGGAAACGTAGAACCTCTTTCTTAATCAGCATGTTAATTAAAATGAGTCCAGGGCCACTCAGCTTGTTTTCAGGACAAGTGCATGCATCTATGCTTGTATTTTGCAAAACGAAGGCGGTTCCGCCGTGCTTTTGCGTACTTCACCCGAGTCTCAATGCTATTCAAGATTCCGACAGACAGACAGACAGACCCCAGCAGCAACTCAAGAAGAAGTCGGGAACCCTCCACTCGGCCGGAGGGGTGCCAGGTAATCGAAACTCAGAATGAGTGTGCATTAAAACAAATCAAAACAGTCGAACAATCTTGGCCAGGGGACGCGTGCAAAGGTTTCCCAGAGTGAGCGGCACTGAAGCAAATCCACCAAAGAGAATCCGGCAGGGCAGGAGAATCGGGGGAGCAACGCTGGCCCAAGGAATCATTCTAAGTCGAAAGACGGCAGGGAAAGGCACGGCGATTCGGGCGGGACGGACTGCAAGCCCCGACGCCCCCTTCGTCTCTCTCCGCAGCCTGCGGGCGTCCCTGCAACCCCCCCGGGCTCGGGAGCCGAACCCGTGGCCTTTCCGAAACTCCCTCTCACAGGCATGCCGGAAACATCCGCCAAACTCAGCGGCCGCAGAAACCCGGACCCAAGCCATCGCGGCCTCGCGCCTACCTGGGGCTCTTCCTCGGCGCCCACGGGCGCCACACTCGGACTCCTCAGGCCAAGCCGAGGCTCCCGCCCCAGCGCCGCCATCTTGGCGGCTCACGTGACCGGAGGTGGGCGGGGCCCGCCCGGCCCAGTCAAAAGCCGCGCCCTCCACCCTGGCTGGGATTGGACGGAGCCCCAGCAAGGGCGGCCACTCATTGGCTCCGCGGGTGCCGGCGGGGACCCGCCCCCGCCGCCTGTTCGGCCGGCCCGCCCCTCGCGGTGTGTCAGCGCCTCGTCTCGGCCCGCGGGCTTGGCGGGTGGGCGGCGCGGGGCTCCGGGGCGCGCTCCGCTTCGCTCCGGGCGGCGTCGGTAGCCGGCGCCCCGCCGCCCCGCAGCCCCTCCGCCGCAGGCCGGGTCTGTGTCCTAAAGCTCCGGCCTCCGGGTCCCGAACCGGCCGTGGGAGCGGCCGTGTGGCTCCGCTCCCCGCCCTCAGGCCCCTCAGCCCCCTCAGCCCCCTCAGAGCCCATCCCCGCCGCCCGCGGGCGCGGGACCGGAGAGCCGTTGGCCCGCCGTCCGTCGGAGACACCGCGCAGCGCGGGCTGGGGGAGGGCCCCGCGCGCAGGCACGCACCCCCTTCCGAGCCAGGTCTCAGTCAGACCCGCACCCCGCCCCGGCCCGCCCGGCTCGGCGCCTGGCAGGAGCAGACCCGAGAGTTACATAATTTCTCGTGCTGTGCTGCCGCCGCCGAGGAAGCAGCCCGGCGCGTGCAGGGGCGCGACGTCTCCGCGCTCCCGTCCCGGGGAACGGGGTGCGGGCCGAGGGGCCCCGCCGCGGGAGCGGGTTTGCCGGTCGGGCCGCGGCAGGAAGGTGGGGCGTCGGGGGCGGGCCAGGGAGGTGGACGCCGCGCCGATGAAGCGCCGGGCTCCGGGCGGCCGGGCGCCGGGTGCCCCGCGGCTGCGCGCCCGCCCCCGCCTGCAGCGGCCCCGGGAGCGGCTCCGGGCGCGGGTCTGATCCGGGCCGAGGCTCGCGGCCCCCGGACGGCGGCCGAGGGAGGCCCGCGGTGGCCGACTCGGGGAGGAACTCGGCGTCGCCAACTCATCCTGCATCAAGTGCCCTAGAGTCGCGCTGTCCCTTTAATGTCCGCACGCCAGGGGATCGCGTCCCTTCCTCTCAGTCCTGTTAGTCCAGGGCGAGGATCCGAACCGCGGGAACCCTTGGCGCCAGCCCGAGGGGCTTGGAGGGCGCGGACCCGCGAACTGCAAGTGACAGCCGGCTGGCCCCGGAGTGCCTGAGCGAGCGAGCCCCGGAACCTCTGGGCGCTGCCCCGGAGCACTCCCCACACCTTTCAGAGACCACCCGCAAGCAGGCTGATTTTCCAAGTATTGGTGTGTGTTAGAGTGTGTGGGGTGGGGGTGGCTTCGATTTTTGCCGGAGAGAATCGCCGATCATGGTCATCCACCAGCTCATCTTGGATGCTGATTCTGTAGAGTAAGGAGACAGCTGTGCCAAAGTGGCTTGTGCCTTACTTGAACAAGTCATGGAACATTCCAAAATGCTGCCAGAAGAGGAGTTGTATGCTCGCATCCTAGGCTTGCAATAATTTCCTCAGCTGTTAAAAAAAAATAAGCATTTTATAAAAATTGAACAACTGCAACAACTGCAGGGTTGTTTTTTCCTCTAAACTCTGTGGGCAGTGAGTGTCAAAAGTTTCACTGTGGAAACAACATCCTCGTTTTCTTTATCTGAAGTAGAAGACAGCTTGGCTTTCAAAACCGCACAGTGAAGTGGTTTGCAACAGTTACCTGGCTCCTGGCCTCAGTCCATCTGGATCAAGTTGAGACCTGAAAAGAGATCTTGAATTGGTGGCAGTGAAAAGATCCAAGAATGCCAGTCAGGAAGAAAGGTGGGCTATGAGGCTTCCTATTCACAGTTCTCCCTTTTCTTGGTTCTGAGATTAGCGATCTAGACTGAATTCTATTTGAGAGTTATATACTGCCGTGGCTTGGGGAAATAATTGTCATTGTGCCTTTTTGGTAGTAAATATCGTTGATATTTGCTAAGGTAAAGTAAAATATAAAGTAGGATCATAAATTTAATTTCTGATTTCAGAAATTGGGTTGCCTAAATCACCTGTTTGTAGTTAGACTGGATTCAATTAAGTAGAATTGGTTTTAGTTTGTTTTCTCATCTTATTAGAAATTTCTCTTAGACATTCTTTCAAAAAAGAAATGTACTGTGGAGCTTTTTCTTATGCAATTAATATTTGTCAAGGTCATTGCATAATGTAAAGGTAATTTTTTCTGCACTGAACAACTTATAACTATTTTTATTAAAAATAGATTTCATATTTGTGTTTATTTAAAGTGTAAATCTTCACTTCTATGATGAAACACAACTTGTTAACTCTTCTCTATTTCCAGATGCATGCATTACTCAGTAACATGATTGGCAAGTTCCCTAAGCCTGACAAAGACCTGATTTTCCCCACTACCTTGAATTCACCAATATCCAGTGGGTTCCTGAGGTATAGTTTAATATAGGTCAGACTTTGGAAATTCACTTTTAGCTTGGATTTACCCCAGAGTACTTTGTTCTGAAAGACCCTAGTGAAAACTTAAAAAAAAAAAAAGCTATGGAGTATAAGATCAACTACAAAGTGGTTTTGTTGAGAGATTTTTGAATCAAAATTTATATTACCATCATACATATACTATAATGTGCTAGGAGAGACCCAAATGTTGACTGAGTTATAATCTAATCTAAACTCAGGGTTCATATTTGGCTCTCTGTGATGCTTAAGTTCTGTACCGGTGGATTTGGAAGATTCATTGAGACATGCTTTATACAACTGATATCTGTAATGATGAATAATGGTATATAAAACATTTGAAAAGCCTAGTAATTGTTCTTTTGTACGCTGTGATTTAAGACTGGGATTGTTTCCTTTTCCCACTCTTCCATAATATTAATGAAAGTTGTCAACTTCATGAGAATTTGGAATCACACCTGTCCAGACAAGATACAACTGATTATCTAAAAATAAGAATGGTTGTTTGAGAATATAGCCAATAAATGATATGGCTCTTTGACTTAGCTTGCTCGTGTTTTCATTATTTCTGCCATTTATTGTTCATTTGGGGCTACTATATTTTCTATACAAAATTAACTATTTTCTAACTAAATTAAATTAAACATATGGGTTTAGTTTAAACATATTGTGTGTGTGTGTGCATGTGAGACAGAGGTTAAAGGAGTGGAGGAAGTGAGGGTGTAAGTTTGAAGGAAGGAATGGGAGGGAAACAGAGAGGAGAGAAAGATGTGTCCAGGAAGGACAAGGAAGGACAATTGACGTTCCAGGTATAACCTAAGTTGCAGAGTGAACTCTAAAGTGCGTAAGATTAGCAATATGAGCTTTGTAGGAGTTCTCTCTTTAAGGTAAGTTGGCAAAAAGTTTCTTATTTATTACTGAAAATCATACTTTTTTTAACTTATGAATTATTTTATGAAATTTATTTATTTATTTTTAATTTTTATTAGTGAAACACCATGATTTCATATTTGCGTTTGTGAGGTACAGTTGTAGACTTACAAGTTTTTGTGCTTGGGTTTCAGTTATACAATGATCAAGTACCCGTCCCTCCACCAGTGCCCATTCCCCACCACCAATGAACCTAGTATACTTCCCTCCCCCACCCTCCCATCCCACCCTGCCTCTGTGGCAGGGCATTCCCTTTTGTTCTCTCTCCCCTTTTGGGTGCTGCGGTTTGCAAAAAAGGCATTGAGTGGCAATCATGTTTGGTCTATAGTCTACTTTCAGCGTGCATCTTCCATCCTGGGAGGATCCTCCCAGTACCCTTTACTTGATGCTCCCTTCTCTATCTGAGCTGCCTTTTCCCCTAGCATGTGTGGCTGGCCTTCATCCAATGGAGTGAACCTCTTAGTACTTATCTCGACTATTATTGGATGTTAGTCTCCTATTTTGTTACTTTATATTCTGCAGATGAATGCAATCTTTTTACGTCTGTCCCTCTCTTTCTGATTCATTTCACTTAGCATGATACTTTCCATGTAGTACCACTTGTATGTAAATTTCATGACTTCATCTTTTCTAACAGCTGCATAGTACTCCATTGTGTAGATGTACCAAAGTTTCTTTAACCAGTCATCTCTTCTCGGGCACTGGGTTTTTTTTTTTTTTCAGATTTTGGCTATTGTGAACAGTGCAACAATGAACATAGAAGTGAAGATGTTATTTCGACTATAATTTTTTGCCTCTCCGGAATATATTCCCAGGAGTGGTATTGCTGGGTCAAATGGGAGCTCAATTTCTAATTTTTTGAGAATCGTCCATACTGTTTTCCAAAAGGGCTAAACCAGTTGGCATTCCCACAAGCAGTGAAAGAGAGTCCCTTTCTTGCCACATCCGTGCCAACATCGGTTGCTTTTGTTCTTTTGGATGTGGGCCAGTCCCTGTGGTGTGAGATGATATCTTATTGTTGTTTTGATCTGCATCTCCCTGATGATTAGTGATGTAGAGCATTTTCTCATGTGCCTTTTTGCCATTCGTATTTCTTTTTTAAGAAAGTTTCTGTTCATTTTGTCGCCCCATTTTTTGATGGGGTTGGATGTTTTCTTCTTGTGGAGTTCAACCAGTGCTTTGTATATCCTTGATATCAACCCCTTATTAGATGGGTATTGGATGAATATCCTTTCCCATTCTGTAGATTGTCTTTGCATTTTGGTCACTGTATCATTTGAGGTACAGAAGCTTCTTAATTTAAGATAGTCCCATTTGTTTATCTCTGTTTCCACTTGGTTGGTCAGTGGAGTGTCGTCTTTGAAGATAACGTTAGCCTCAATGTCGTGGAGGGTTTTGGCAACCTTGTCTTCAATGTACCTTATGGATTTTGGCCTGATGTTGAAACCTTTAATCTATTTTGATCTGACTTTTGTGCGTGGTGTTAGGTCGAGGTCTAAGCCTATTTTTTTTGCATGTGTTTGTCCAGTTAATGCCAGCATCATTTGTTGAAGACGCTTTCCTTGCTCCACTTCACATTTCTTGCGGTATTTATGTTGGAAAAGCTAGATTAAATGCAAATGTTAACTAACTGCAAACAATACTGTTTTCTCTGAACCGTTTATTGTTTAGTATATCTTATGGACCTGAGCGATAGACAGTAGGTAGGGCATTTGCTTTGCACATGGCCGACCTGAGTTCAATTCCTCTGTCCCTCTCGGAGAGCCCGGCAAGCTACCAAGAGTATCCTGCCCACATGGCAGAGTCTGGCAAGCTCCCCGTGACATATTCGATATGCCAAAAAACAGTAACAACAAGTCTCACAATGGAGAGGTTACTGGTGCCCGCTGAAGCAAATCAATGTACAATGGGAGGACAGTACTGATATCTTATTAAAATAAAATTTTATAAGATATGCAAAATTATTTTTGTTTTGGGACCTCACCTGACAGTGCTTAGGGCTTACTTCTGCCTCTGTGCTCAGGGATCACTCCTGGAGGAACTCTGAGAACCATATGTGGTGTCAGGGATTGAATCTATGTTAGTCATATGCAAGGCAAGTTCTCGTTGTACTATTGCTTTTCCCCCAAGATACATTTATTTTGATTTATCTTATATAATCATAAAACTGGATGGAGTTTCTCTAGTAATTGGAAATGTGTGCGATATCTCAGTAACTCAATTTTAAGTTCTTGACTCTTTTGGTAAGCTGAAAGTGCTGTACATTAAATTCCTATATTTGTCCTTCTGTTTTATGAAATTTCTACCTCTCTTCACCATTTTATGTGCATTAATTTTGTTAACAGAGGACCCTTTCATACCTTTTTCCTTTTCATTTTTTTCTGTTTTGGTTCTCAGTACATACACAGCATTGCCCAGGGCTTACTCCTGACTCTGTGCCCAGAAATCACTCCTGGCAGTGCTAAGGGGAACCATATGTGGTGCCAGGGATTGAACTTGGGTCAGCTATGTGCAAGGCAAGCACCTTACCTGCTATACTATCTCTCCTCTTAGGATCCTTCATTTCTTCCTTAGAGATCCACTTAAATAGTCATTTTCATTCACATCTCCCTTTTTGAGAGTAGTAAGTTGACTTGCTTTCAACTAAACTTTTACAACATCTTCCACCTTTTGATATTTGAGAATATTTAGAAAGCATCCAAAATAAATTATACTAACATTCTCTGATATGATACAAGTTCATGGATTGTGAGCAATTTTTGTATTTTAAGATATGTGCTGATCTGATATCATGTTGACTTAATGTTTGAAATAAAAGTTAATGAGGTATTTTTTTTCCTTTCAGGCACTGTGGTTTAACAATATATACTGACAGTAAATCATGCATATCTCTTTGCTTCCTTTCAGCAACCTATCTTCCTCCACAGTATCTACTCTCCATTATTTTCCTGTAGTGTTCTCTTTGCTGATTTATCCATGTCTCCCCAAAGTGGTGAGCTTCCTATTGAAGACCAGATCTCATGTTTTTTGTTTCTATTACCTCTGGGCATTTGTTATTCCCATACTATATTCCTTTGTATCACACATATGATAGAGATCATTCTGAGTCTGTTCCTCTCCCTCTGACTGATTTCACTCAACATGCTACTTTCCAGACTCATCCACATAGCAGCAAATTGCATGACTTTATCTATCTTTTCTTATGGCCGAGTCATAAGAAATGGAGCAATAGCACAGCGGGTAGGGCATTTGCCTTGCAAGTGGCCAACACGGCCGACCCGAGTTTGATTCCTCCGCCCCTCTTAGAGAGCCCGGAAAGCTACAGAGAGTATCTCGCCCACCTGGCAAAGACTGGCAAGCTACCCGTGACGTATTCGATATCCCAAACACAATAACAAATGTCACAATGGAGACGTTACTGGGCC